GTCTAAGGACGGCCGCGGTGCCTGGATTTGGGGGATCGCCCAGCTGTGAGCACATGGGTGATGATTGCACATGTATACGGTACGCTGAGTGTCACCTGCGGGGCAGAGTGACCCGGGGTGGGGGGTGGGGGTGGGATTTCCACCTACAGCTTCCGTGGGTCGGTGGGTGCGGTAAGCGTGCTGAGCGCGTCATGCCCACCGGGACGGATGCTTTGCCCCCTGCGTCCCAGGGCTGCGGCTGGCAGCTGTCTGCGTGAGGGGCGAAGCTGAGCACGAAGGAGGCACCGGTGCCTTTAAGAGCTGCTGCTTTACATTCTCGGTGCTGCTGCTCTGCTGCGGCCCTGCGCCCGGATTGGCTGCGTCCGGGAGAGCAGGGAGGCTGGAGAGATGCTCTTGCCTTCTCCCTTCCCATCCAGGGACCAGAAGCAGCAGGATCCTCCAGCCTGAGCCAGGCAGGTGAAGCAAGCCGGACCCGGGGAGGAGCTTGCCTGCCCGCCCGCACGCAGGGGTCCCGGGCTCTCCCTCCCGCCAGGCAGGTTCATGAAGCCAAGCAGAGCGAAGGCTGCACAGATGCCCCCCAGCCAGGCGCCTGCCCGGGGCTGACGGGGACCTGCGGGCACCTGAATGGCAGGCGACGCACAACGCCACAGCTCTTTTCTATTTTTTTGCTACCCTTTGGAGATAATAGATTTGTAATTCTATTTTTTTTACAGCCGGACCTGGACCTTCTCTGAACAGAAGCGGGGAAGGGGGTGCCTGGAGGGAGCGGAGGCGGACGTGTTTTCTGCTCAGAGAGGGGGGTCTTTTTCTCCTTCCCTCGCCCTTCTCCCTCTTCCCGGTTGGGTCTATGCTATGAAAGCCAATATGCACAAGCACCACCACTGTTGTAAGTGCCCAGAGTGCTACGAGGTGACGCGGATGGCGGCCCTGAGGCGCATGGAGCCTCCCAGCTACGGAGAGTGGCAGCACGAGCAGTATGGCTATGGGGGCTATGGCTCACAGACCCTGCCATCCCAGGGGGGAGCCGCTCCCACCCCCAGGAACAAGAACAAACTCATTCCCACCTCCCGGGACAATGTCCCTGCCCCCCTGAAGCAGGGGCAGGGGAAGAGCACGCCCAAGATGAATGGGAACAGCACGGGCTGGTGGCCAGAATGCACATGCTCGAACCGCGACTGGTATGAACAGGTATGGGACAGGTCGGCTCCCCGGCGCCAGCGCGGACGAGGAGGGCAGCCTTTTGTTGCGGGGCTCGTTAACATGCAGCCAGCATATTAGACACGCGTTGAACCTCCGTCATCTAGAGCGCACGGGCATGCAGGGGCTTGAGGAACCGGCCTGGCTAGGGGAGGGGGCGGGTGGGCTAATGCAGAAGGGGGATAAATCATCCTCAGGGGTCGCATGTTAGCAAGAAAATGGTGTCTGACAGCGCGTCTGGGCGCTCCTGCATTGCCCTGGTCGGCTGGGCTGGTCTCGTGGAGGAGGCGGTGCACGCCTCACTGTCGGCACTCTGCGGGGGGTGAGGACTGGCCTCCTGGGGGCTCCTGCCTGGCATGAGCGGGGGTGTAGGGGCAGTGGCTTGCGGACGGCCTGGCCCAGGCGTTCTTTGCTTCTGATGCAATCGCCCAAAGTCTCGATGATGTCAAGGCTCCCTGTTTACTGGGCACTGGACATGCTGGCCTGGGGGCAGCCTCCAAGGCTGCTGGTGCCGCTGGCCCTCGCTTGCCAGACCAGCTCCTCGCCCTCCACCGGGCTGGGGCACTGGTCTCCCACTCTTCGTCTCCCGCTCCCCATTCCCCTCAACTATTATATAACCGAGATCTGGTCTCTGCCATGCTGGGTGCTTTCTGCCCCATTTCACCGCCTTCATTGCTTCCCGTGCGCATCCATCTTATTAGGGCTCTCTTTCCAGCCCAGTTGCCAGCTGTCTTTCTTTCACCCTTTACATGGAGAGGCCATTCTTATTTTGAACCCATCAGCCAGCTGAGAAAATGGTTGGAGCCTGTGTGCAAAGCAGTAAAATGGAGGCTAGACCCAGCCTGAGAAACATTTTACCTTGCTTTGGTGGAAGACATTTCAACCTCTCTCTCTGCCTCTTCCATTCACTAGCTTCAAACCTTACCTGGGGCTTTTTGTTGCCCCTTCTACCTGTTATTTTCAGAGTTATCTACAACCGAGATGGACACACAATGAGCAATCGGAAGTCACCCCCCCATTCCCCCCCCCCTTCAGGATCTCTGCTTTCCTTTATATGCTTTTCTTAATTAGTGTCTGAATATCCGGGGCTGGGGGAAATAATCTGGTTTGAAACTGAAGCTCTTACATGGGCATTTACAAAAAGCACCCAGAAACAACCCTGCTATTGGTTTCTGTCTGCCTCAGCCTCTCTCTCCATCTCAATCCGTCTCCAGCTTTCCTGCTGACTCCTGGTGAGCTTTCTCATCCCTCCTTTGCTGTAGCTCCATGCAGGGCATTGAGCTCGAAGAGCTGAGACAGGGGCAGGGCGACTGAAGCCCTCTCTGTTATTCCTTCCTTACCCATCCCCCGGGCCTGGCAGGTGGGTGCCAGCATGGCCAAGGGTCCCCGTGAAGACAATTACAAAAGAAGATGGAAGGAAAGAAGTGCCAGTTTCCGTGCTGCCATGGCTGCCTGGCTGCTCCATCAGCCAGAGCTGGGCTGGGCAGAGCTCCGTTCACGTTTGCAATGGTGGAACAGACGTCATTGTCTCTTTGTGATACGGCCACTCGCTCTAGCGCCTGGTTTGGTCCGAGTGTCCACAGATGGGAGCGTGCTGTCTTCGCTGAAGGCACAAATGCAAAGCCATCTCCTAGCCGTGCAAAACGGAGCATGAGCGATGCCCTGCCTGTGTGCAGGGCTCCGTGGTCATAGCCAGGGTCTGCATGTATAATGTGCCGCGTGTGTGGTATGTGCACAGACTCTATCAGAGAAGGCAGAATTGCTCCCTGGTGTGCAGCAAATATATGCAGTGGGTAAAGCCTTGCAGCAAACACCACAGCTGTGTTCCTGCTCTGCTATGAAGGGGCAAAATGTCTGGGTCTTTAAGTATTCGTGTTCTGCACAGTCCAGTTGTGGAGAGAGAGACCAAAGGTGATCAGATGGGGACAGCTGTGTGTGGCTTGCACAAAGCAGATGAGATTGTGTTGGTCCTGGGAGACCAAAGAGGGCCCCATGGTCAGGCTGGACCTCATGGGGTGCTGCAGATACAAGCCTCTCTTTCTGCCCAGATCATGGTTGCGTCGGGGATCCTGGGCTGCCCCTTTCCATTAGAGATGTGTCCCTGGAACCGCTTCCAACAGTGGAGATGAAAACGGGAGTGCAGGCAGAGGAGGGCTGTGGGACTGCCAGCCCCACACACTCAGCCGCGGCTCTACCCCTCTTGCTTCTCTTGTTGCAGCCTCTTTCCTCTGTGCCATGCATGCCAGCAGATGCACGCACACACGGGGTATATGCTCAGCTGCTGGCGCGCACGCAGCACGCTCTGACATGCAAAATGGGCCCTTGCTCACAGGCTGCACACGTTCCCACATGGTACATGTTCACTTACGTCACGAGCACCTGTGCTGTGTGCACCGTTATCTGGCATGTGGTACTGTGCCCACACATGCTGCCTTGCACTCAAGCACGCCGCAGTCACAGACATGAGCCTGCACCTCCGCCCACTTCCCTTCCCTGCCTCTCCTCACCCCTCGCCCTTTTTCTGCCCCTCACCGCCCCAGTCCCCATTTGCCCCCATTATTAATTCACGCATCCCTTCTTCTCTTTCCTTTTTCTCCCGTTTTTTTCACCATCTCTGTCTCCCCTGTTTCTTAGCTATTCTGGTTTTCCTTTGGCTTCCCTGGTCAGCCATTCCTCCCCTCCCTGCTTTACCCACCAGCGTGCTGGGAAAGGGCAGCAAGGGACTCCGTAACAGAGGAATTGGTGTCACCATATGCAGTCTCCTAGCGTGCGGGAAGAAAGGCGGCGAGCGCGGTTCCCTTGCAGGGCAGCATCCCTGATCCGCAGAGCGAGGGAGCCCGAAACCCCTCCTCTCTCCTGCACACTGACGCCCACAGCTTCTCCCGAGAGGCACTGAGACATTCCCACACCTCCATCTAAGGCCACTCCGACACGCTGTGCTGAAGCCTGCTCTCGAGTGCATCCCTTGTGCTCAGGTGCTGGGGCTGGGTGCTGATGCTTGCACTCCCCAAAGTGGGGCCCTGTCCCCTGGGAAGGCAGCAGGCCCTGCAAGCTCTCCCAGCTCGTACCAGCCTCGGCTCAAGGGGCTCATCTCAGCCAGCAGAGGCCCAAAGCAATGAGATTTTGGTCCCTGTGAAGCGTGAGCACAGTAGTTAAAATGAGAGAAATCAAGGATTTCCAAGGACCCACGATAAGATTCTTTGAGGCACTAAGGATTTCCTGCAAAAATGATGAAAAAGGTGTCCGTGAGGTTCCCCATGCCTGCTGGCTGGGGTGGGATGCAGCCGTGCTTTAAACTGAACTGCCGGTGAACTTAGCAGGTATCCCCCATTTCTTGAGGCCTGCTCACCTCCCCTGGCCATGCTTGATCTGAAATGCCCTCTTGTGCATAAAGATCCCAGGGAAGCAATAGCTCTCCTCTCATTCAGCGGGCTTCTCTGCACTGCTCTGTCACTGCTGTGCAAGTCAAAGTAAAAATGGCAATCATTGCATTAGGCAGAAAAAGCCTGTGCAGGCGGAGAAGGAAAGCTGACGACGGAGGCAGGGGGAGTTCAAAGAGCATGTCTAAGCAATGGAAGTAGGCTGGTAAAGGGTATGGCCCAGTGCTTGTGGGCTGCTGGCACTGCTAAATTGTCAGGAGGTCTGCGGTGCATGCGTAGGGCTGACCTTTTCTGGAGATGCATGGGGGAGCCCGGGGGCAGCACGGCAGGACGTCCTCTGCGGCAGGACTCTGACTGTGCTGGTACAGGTAAGGGAAGCGAAGCAACAGGCACCGAAGTGCTTTGTGCATGTCTGGATGCGGGGGGCTCACCAGTGAAAGTCATGCCACCCAGAGCTTGGTTTTCTTTGCTTCCTCCCTTAAAACGGGGAGTGACGTGGGGTATTTGGGGCACCGGATGCAGCAGGCTCGCTTTTGTGGCAGTGACACCTCTTGAAGACTCGAGCGTTAGCAAGAATGAGGATTTTGCACCTCAGAGCTGCGTGGCTGGATAGACAGCAACGACAGCAGGAAGACAGCATGGATAGAGGGCTGTGCAAAGGG